AGAATGTATTATTTAAAAAAATAAGACTCCTCCTTTTAGCTTTTATATGCGGTAGAATTAGATGGTAACATTTAAATGGTGGCTGTTGGCCCGGGTGTGTGTGTGTGTGTGTGTGTGTGTGTGTGTGTGCGCGCGTGTGTAACCTTATGTACAGATAGCACAGTGCCAGATCTGCTCTGACTTCCAGGGGAGGGAAAGAATCGCATCAGCTCACAGTTGATGCCTCTGAGGTGGAGATCAACCATCCTCCACTCTCCATTCTTTTCACTAATTCCCACTCCAGATATTCCTGCCTCTGCAACCTCTGGTCCTCTGATGTGTTCCGTAACCCTTGCCACTCGAGAGCTCACAGGCCATATTCACGACGCTCAGGTTTCTTAGGGAAGTAGCAGGCTACACTTCAGGATCAGGATCAACTTGAGATACAGTTCTTTAATCAAGATGACTTCTTTTTACCCGTGCCCTCTGGCAGGCCTCTGCTACTGGGCCTCACTGTTGGTCTCCCTTCTGCTTGGCAAAAGTTTAAAAGCTCTTTTGTTCCACCAATAAGTGCCAGCGGGACCCCACTTTGCCAGCAAGCCTCCTGCCTGAAGGCATTCAGCTCACTCATCTTTGAGCTAGTAAGCGCACTGTAGCCACCTCCCTCTCTGGGCCAAGAGGTCCATCCACCATGCCCTCTCTGTCCCGCCCTTTGTCTGCTGCTGGACCTTTCCAGGCCAACTCTCACTGTCTTTTTTCAGTGTTCCCACCACTCTGCAGCCTTCTGGGACTACTTGGGTCTTACCAGGACCTTTCCTCCAAAGGACACATTCCACTCTCTGTTCTTCTTGTGATTAGCAGCTCAACCATCCACCATGCCACCCGGCGCCTTCCTGTTCTTGACAGTAGTGGAGCACTTCCCTCCAACCTCGGCACTGGCTTCCTTTGAGACCAGTTCCCGTGCATGTGTTCCATACACTTCATGTCCATTCACACTTTCCAGTCCCCCTGTGGCCCTGAAGCACCTTCTTTTCATAGTCTACCCAACCATATCGTGAGAGTTCACACAACTCTGGCCAGAAGTGCCATATTGTAGTAATTCACTGCACCACATTTTGTGACTATATCTAATCTAAAAGCATGTGAGATCTTAGCATTTAGTGTCCTGTATCTCTAAACAAGAAAAACAGTAATTCATATAGTGCTTAACCCAAGAAAGTAGAGATATTTGAAGTTAACACTGTTTGAAAATCTTTAATGAGACTTTGGCTTGACAAATATCCCAGATTAAAACACCTGCTCTCTCTTTCACAGCTGCCTATTATAAATGATGTATTGTAATTTATAAGAGACTACCTGTATAAGAGATCCCCCTTCCCCCTTGCCCACTTGCCTACCCCATCAAGAAAAAACTGCGTTAGGCCTTTCATATTGGCACATTGATATGTTGGAGTGCAATATATTAGTTATTTTAGTTAAATAACAACCTTATTATTAGGCTATCGGTGTTTGATATTTGCATATAAAAAGCCTTCTATAAAAATTTGAAAAGGCTTTTGGGAATATGGTGGCTGCTGAGGATGGTGTATTATCATATCTGTATGCCATGTGGTCATTTATTCATGGACTGTGCTTTCTCTCCACCCATTACAGAGAGGTACAGAAAGCAGTCAACACTGCCCAGGGCTTGTTTCAGAGATGGACAGAGCTCCTCCAGGACCCCTCCACAGCCACCAGGGAGGAAATCGACTGGACCACCAACGAGCTGAGAAACAACCTCCGGAGCATAGAGTGGGATCTCGAGGACCTTGATGAAACAATCAATATCCTTCTCAGGGGTGCCCATGCCTTGGGGTTCACAGACAAGTGGATATGCTGTGATCAAATGGTTTCACATGCACCAATCATGCATTTTTAAAACTTGTTTTGCCACACCTGAAATAGTTGTCCTACAAGCTAAGACAGGGTAGCCAAATTCTTCTACAGCACATGACAAATCCTGGGACTACAGAGGTAGCATAGTGTAATGGTTATGGTCCTGACCCTAGAGTCCCACTGCTGGCGTCCAAGTTCCATTGCCACCAATTACTGTGTGGCTTTCGGTGCATCTTTTAAACCTCTCAGGCTTCAGTTGGGTAGAAAGAGTCATACTGTATCTCGTTCCTAGGGTTATTGTGAGAGTCAAACCTGTGAAAAGCCAAAGCCAAAATCACTGCCATCGAGTCCATGCTGACTCACAGCAACCCCCTGTGGGCTTCCGAAACTGGAACCAGTTCTGAAAGTGGAAAGCCCATTAGGAGGAGCTAGTGGTTACGAACTGTCGACCGTGCATATTGAAGTTGACCTTCATAGCATGTAACCACTACACCACCAGGGCCCCTACACGTGAAGGACATAGAGACTACCTGGCACACAGTAAGCACCTATAAAAGTAATAGCTGTCAGTTCTTAGTGGTATGTATAGACCTACACTATAAAATTAGGGACCCAAAGGAATCTTCCGATTTCCTGTTTGAAAAATGATATTACCATACCAACTTCCATTGTAAAAATACCTTGTACTATGAAACTGCCTTTAGAAAAAACAGATGTAATGTGCTAATGCAGTGGTTCTCAACCTTCCAAGTGCCTTTGTGACCCTTTCATACAGTTCCGCATGTGGTGGTGACCCCCAACCATAAAAGTATTTTTGTTGCTACTTCAAAACTGTAATTTTGTTACTGTTATGAATCGGGCGACCCCTGTGAAAGGGTCGTTCGACCCTCAAAGGAATCTCAACCCACAGGTTGAGAACCGCTGCGCTAATGAATTCTTGTTCAGTAGGTCCCCTGATCTGACTGACCAACCAGAGAACTGTAAAAGCAGGAACATAAGGCCTAGAAATCTCATCACAACTTCATTCAGATGGAAAATATGCATATTTTGAGTTCTGCTTTGTTTTTTAAATGTCTTTTTTCCCCTGTAAGTGGATAAAACATCAAGGAAACTGGCTTTTGTCAGGATCATTCTGTAGTGAGTGCAGGTATGTCCATATGCAGCTGATATGTTAAGTACACAATTTTAATCGGTCATGATTTATAAAAGACAAGCTAGCTGTGTACGAGAGGTCCTTCTTCCACCCTCCCTCTCCGCCTCCCCAATAAAGAAAGGCTGTCTTAGGACTTTTATATCAGCATATTAATAAGTGTAATGCAAAAGGCCCTTTAGTTAATTTGTAGGGTTGCTTTTTTACTACTTTTAACTATCGGCAGTCAGTGTCCTCAGACAAACATGCCTCAGCAGGGCGGGTCGACACAGTGGCTACAACAATGGGTTCACACATGACCTCGTTGAGGCTGGATCAGGACAGACAGTACTTCGTTGTGTTGTACACAGGTGGCTCTGAATCAGACCCAGGTATCCTCTAAGTTATTAAAAGACAAATGCTTATAGGACAAGACATGGGAGAGGCAGAACGAAAAGCCACAGGTACAGGGAAAGGTATCTTCCCTGGAGGCAAGAGGAAAGGGGAAAAGATTGGAGGAGAGAGGGAAACAATGTGAGGTAAAGAAGAAAAAAATTTCAACAGATATTCATCCCTCAACAAATACTGAGTATACTCTGTGCCCAGCGTTTTGTTACTGAGTGAGATTAGATTGTTAAGCAAAGCAGCACACCAGTCCTCTGGGACTTTGGGCCTAGTTGGGGAGACCAGCATTAATCAAGGTAACACAAATATGTGTGTCCCGACTGTGAGAAAACTAGAGACTGCTAGTCTTCTGGGACTATGTGAGGGAGTTTGTGAGGGACAGTGGGGCCAGTCTAGGGGTGAAGGAGGGCCATGGAAGGCTTCCCTGACCTTGATCTCTGTAGAGTTAGTACAGTAGGGTTAGCTTTTTGGGATCCGAGGAAATGGCTTGGGATGATGAGTGTAAAAGGTTTGCACGCGGGAAAGGGAAGAGGGAATCCAGAGTCTCACAGGGATCGCTCTTACAAGGCACGAGGCAGGGCCACTCAGCGGTGGTCAGGCAATATAGATTTGTAGTCTACCCCATCCTCGGGGGCTGGCAGCTCTGCCATGGCACATCAGAGTCCCCACATGACTTGTGGGCAGAGGAAGTTTGAGAACGACTAATATTCAGTTGACTTTCCAGAAAGTTTGGGCCAAATTTTATTGCCTACCAGGAAAGTGTTACTATTTAATAGGATGTTGTTTGCTCGACTTTCACTGATGAAATTGCTTTGCCTTAACTTTTTGACCCACGCATCGTTGAAGCAAATCCTAGAAAATTCAACCTCGATGCAACTGAGCTGAGTATAAGAAAAGCCTTCATCACTAGTACCCGGCAAGTTGTCAGGGTAAGGGATATGGTATTTTATTATTTGTGCATGAAGCAACCAAACTTACTTACTCCCTCTCTTAATTTGTGAACTAACAGGCTAACACTGAAAGCACTTTTTGGCATGAATTAAATGCCACTTCCCCACATCCACGTTCTCGCATTGAAACAAAGGTATCTGCCTTTAGCGTTGTCAGAGCGCACAGATGAGCATGGTTGTAGTGAAAGTCTGCTGGCTGTTTTTTCCCAAACCTCTTTGAACGTTTGTCTAGATTTTGCTGGCACTTTTTATAGAAGAAAGCAGTGTTCTTTTTTTGATAGAAATAGCATTGATATTTTCTAGGTAATTTTTTCCCTTTCAACCTTTGTGAGTCACCTCTGCTGCCTAAAAGATGCAACAGTAAACAAGGAAGGTTACTTTAATGGTCCACCTGCCTGGTTTCTCCAAACCAGTTCTCTTTTTACCCTTTATTTCTCAGTGTGTCCTATTGCTGGGCAAAAAGGAAGAATTACTGTTGTAGAAACCATTTGGTTTAGTGATTGATTGATAATGCAGAGTGACTCTTAACTCTGGTTGGATGGCTGCCTCTCCCACCATCTGAATTGCTTCTGCAACTCTTGCAACTAGCGTTGCTGACATTTCCGTAGACAAGTGCTTGACAGTTTTGCAGAAGGTTTCTAGAGCAAGCAAACATCTACCAGATATAAAAGACCAAGCCAAGGGAAGAGATCTTTAGTCTCGTAATTGTAGCTCAAAGTAAAGAACCTAAGAGAAAATACCCCGTATGGGTAACTTTTTGTCTCATTCAAATAGAGTCAGCCCTCAGGTTACAAATATTGAATTCTCGCACCTGTCCTTTACTATTCTGTAAATCACCCACTTTGAAGCAGTCATCTACCCTTCACTGTGACTGAAAAGGCGTAGAGCAGGCTGTATGTAGAACAGTATGTACCTGTTCAGACTTAACTACAAATTCAGTTTAAGGATAAACTTTGCAACGGATGTAGTTCATAACCCGGGGACTGCCTGAGTGTTTTGTATTTTGAGGCCATATAGCTAAGCCCTGTGATTAGCATAACTGGATGTAAGCAAGCCAGCTGCCTTCACATATGGACTCGAAGGCGTCTTCCTTGATAAAAAGACTTGGTTCCGTACCAGTGCTAGCATATGGCTCTTCAAGAGTCATCTTAGGCAGGAGCCTCAGTGTATGCTTGGCAAAGATTTAATACCACGTGATTTCCTTTTGAAATGTTCCAAATAGTAGTCATTATCATTGAACTTTAAACATTCCTGTGCCTTCTTTCACCCAGTAGATGCCTTTCTAGATGCATGTAACTAAATGGTTTGTTAAACAGCTTGCATTTTAATGGGGCAGTACCTTGCTAGATTTCAGGTGTCCACTCTGTACAAAGAGAACATGTTGGGCACTCCTAATTTGTTTCCAACCAGTTCAGCATGTGACTCTGATACAGAAGCCCTGGGGAAAGGGACATTTTTTAGAAGGTAAATTATTCCTCAATTACATATTTTATAAATGTGATTTCCTTCTGTAGTAGATTCTTAGAAGGACATTTCGGTAGATGTTAGTACTTAAATGGTACTTCAAAGTGAAGAAGGAGTCTCGGTGGTACAGTGGGTTAAGCGTTGGGCTGTTTACCACAAGGTTGGTGGTTCAAACCGACCAGTGGTTCCACGGGCAAAAGATGAGCCTGCTCCTGCCGAGATTGACGGTCTTAAAAACCTCTGAGTAGCAATGGGGCTCACTTTGTGTTTCAGACCCTATGATTCCAAAGTAGCCTGGCAGTGCTGTTGGCTGTTGGTCCCCAGTTAGGGGCACCAGCCCCTCGCAGGAGGAGAAAGATGAGGCTGTCTGCTCCTGTAAAGATTGAGTCTCGGAAGTGCTATATAAAGACACCATGAGTGGGAACTGACTTGGAAGCAGTGGGTCTGGTTCAGTTTGTAGGAGACCATCTTAACTTTGATCCGCCCAGCAGTGTTTCTCCACAGGGAGTGCGAAGACCTGGGTGGAAGAGATGAACAGAAAGGAATCTGGGAGTTCGCAGCTCTGGGAAATGATCAAGCTCAGATCGGCCATTTGTACATCAAGAGTTAACGTTAGCTCCTCTGTTACCATTGGCGGGTGGCTTTCATGTAGTGTTGGTACAAAGCAATGCATATTGACTCACTTTGTTTTTAAAACAATGAGTGTCAAATTGTGTGTGGTAAGGTGGGGTATGTGTTTGGGGACAGTGTGAAGGGAGGGTTAGTGATACTCCACAGGTTTTGGGGGCTCTACTTGAAGAAATAAATCTTGTCTTTCTCCACGATTAATATCCATTAGTTTATTATGCCTTTAGTAAACCTCCTTTGTTTAAGGAAGTCTTGCTTAAATGTTTACAAGTGTCTTTCAAGTTTATGTTGTTTTTCCTGGCTTTTTTTTTAACTCAAAAAAGCAATATTATTGTTTGTATATAAACAGCATTGATATTTTTGTGGTAATTTTTTGTTTCTGAAATTGCTTACCCATCAGATTTCACATTGGAAAATTTTCTGCTGTGGAAATACATTAGAGAACTGATTTGGATTGATTTTTGGCACGAAAGTTGTTACAGTGTATGGCGGGAGAACAGTGGACAAGGGAGTCAGGAACCCTGAATGCTAGGCCAGGCGGTGGCTTTGACACATACTGTGGCAAATTTTTCAGCCCCTGTTGATTGCAGTTTTTATTTTTTAATCCCAGAAATGAACTTTGCTTACATTCTCTGCCTGTATTTTAACTTATAAAGGTGATCAGAAGTAGCCCCCCCCCCCCCCCCAAAAAAAAAGAAAGAAACAAAAATACCTCACCCTGTTCCAATCCAAGAATTCCATCTGGTTCGTCCTAAGTCAGGCTAGCAATGCTGTAGTTAATCAAAAGGGGAAAGGTATCAGGTGTTGCCACAGAGGACGTTGGGAATGAGACCTGCGAGTGGGAAGCCGTGGGATTTACGGAACCTCATTCATTCTGTTAGCAGACAGTGTGGAATTCCAGTGTAGCAGGGAAGCAGGAGCATAAATCACCAAGACCTGGGTTGTTCTTTTGGCAGATGAGCCACATTTTATTGAGACTAACTGCTTCTTGACTGCTGATTTTAAATTTCCTGTGTTAGAAGATGAGTAAGTATGTCTGACATGACAGGTTGTTGCAGAATAGTTTAAAACCGGTCAGTAGCCTGGCTCCACATTCCACATCCTACTATGAAGGCGAGCTCTTGTGCGGCGCTGTCTGGAGACTTAGCCTCCGTGGATAGAAAGCCACCCAGACGATCAGCCTCTACCTCCGTACCGAAGGCCCTGACCACGTTCGTGATGGCCACCACACGGCTGCCGAAGAACTCTGACCGCCAGGTGTGACATGCACACGCCATGCGTTTTTTTATCAAGCAGAGAAGTTTAAAAACTGGAACTTTATAAAGCATGTTTCATTCTATAGGCGTAGCTTTTAAAAAAAAATAGTGTATTAGGGTGGGGGGGTTACATTTCAGATCATCAATTTTGTATCCCACAGTGTAAACTACTTGGTTCCCCGTCCCCCCAACCCCCCCTGATAATTGACCCTTGACCTACCCACTTCTCGGCTTTTCTTCTGCATGTGGACTACTGTCCTCCGTCCCACCCATGTTAACACCCGCCAGCACTGTAGCCCAGTGCTTCCTCTTCCCTCCCTTGCCCTCCTCCTCTTGAAAATCCCCAAAGTCTGTTCCCGTTGGTATGAAAGTTTTTTCCTGTTTCGTTTATTTGTTTGTTAGAAATAACAGTGGTGTCCTATAATACTTGTCTTTCTGTGACTGGCTAATCATACTCAGCAGACTGTTCATGTTGATCCATGTCCTGCTTGGTTTTGTCATGGTTTTTAGCACTGTGTGCGTGTACCAGAGTTCCTTTATCCGTTCTTCTACGATAGACATTGAGGTTATTTCCACCGGCTTGCTGTTGTGAACAGCTCTGCGATGAACATGGGTATGCATGTCTGTCGGTGTTACAGGTCTTACTTCTTCAGGGTACATATTCCCAGCCGTGGGATCGCTGGATCACATGAGGGTTCTATTCCCAGATGTCTGAGAGAGTGCCCTATCACAGTCCACAGTGGTTGCCCATAACTACAGTCCTACCAGCAGTGTATGAGGGACTAATCTCTCCACACCCTCTCCAGCATTTATTAAATATATCTCCTTTAAGTCAGTATGTCCAGTTTCCATTGGAAACATTTGATCTGTATTTAGATTTCATAAAATTTATATGTGAAAAAGTCTACTGCATATCCCAGTTACTCCAAACATACTTTAAAGCGTTTT